GCGTTGTATCTCCTGCATCACGCTTCTTCCCTCTTTTCGCAGTCACTTTCTCTTTTAAGTTTTCCACGCGGCATCCGCCAAAGTAGAATGTTGAAAGGCATCCTGCAAAGAATTCTGGGTTTGTTTGGCAGCCCTCGGCCATGTGGCAGCGTTCGGCCACGAACAAATTTTTTTTTTTTCTGACCGCGAAAAAAAAAAGACAAAAACTAGTGGCAGCGCTCGGCGGCTCGGCCGGGTAATATTTAATTTTGATTTGATTTCATTTATCTTTGGTCTCATTTTATTTCTATTTTACATTTTACTTTCACTTGCTTTTATTTTAAAAATAAAAATGAGAAATAAATCGAAATTTAAAAAAATATAACAAAAATTATTCCTATAAATTTGAATATTTTTAATGGCAGTTCTCGGCCACCATACACCTGGCAGTTTTTCTCAATATTTCTTCCCTTTTATGGTACTGAATATTAACAACTTCTTCTGGTAACAAGCAGCATTTACATTTATGTTTAAATTGCACTGCCCATTCACTGACTACCAATTCATGATGATTATTTGCCTTCATTGTCGCAGATTGATTAGTCCTCACCCTAACCAATCAGCCTGGACAACACCTGACTTAGATTCTCAGTTATGATGGATGGTACCACAATCACATACAATAATATTGAACTGATGCTCAGCACAGCTTATCTTGCTAATAAAAATGCCATTTGTGAAGGTGACCTCTGCATTTGCAGCTCCTAAAATGTGTTTGGATAGTGTCTTTGATTTATACATGAAATCAATCATAATACATAATAAACAGAACATTACATGTTGATCTGTGTGCATGCAGGGATACAAACTTTCTTATTTGCATAGCTTATTAGTGAGATATGCACTGTGATATCAACAATTACAGATCTATAAAATTGGTATCCAATTACATGGCATAGCAATATCTAACCCTGGTCAGGTACGTATGACAAAGTGTGATGATATTGTTGTGAAAACAAGAACAAACTGTCCATCAAATAATTAACATTAACCATTGATGCAGGATAAAAAAGAACTAAATAGTGCAGTTAATATGTTTGACACATTTCACGTAAATCAGTTGTGCTAATTAATGAGCATGACAAGTTACCTGAGCTTCAGCAGTCACATTATATTGCATAGTGATTTGATTAGTAAACACAGCAATCTGATGCAAACTATAGTAACTACTGACAATGAAGTAAATATTTAGCATGCATTGATCACAAAAATAGAAGGTATTCCCAGGATAGCAATTAAGAAATAGCAAAATATCTCAAATAAATGCAATTCAGTGACCAGTTCACTGTAAAGGTGCAAATCCTAGAGGAATTAAACATCCTCAAATTAAAGGATATTATAAACATTAATTTTGTCCACAGGTGAAACAGAACACTTTAAAGCAAGAGAATTGGATGTTTGATCATTTTCTTCATTCAGCCCAAGTATAATTCTACTCGCAAGCACACTTGTATACAAATTATGTCTTGAAATGTGATGGGACGAGTATGTATAATTGAGAAAACCTCTCAACTCCACTTTTGCAGACCTGAAAGTGTGGAAGGCTGTCTGGGCTTTTGAAAATGAGTACATACATAATTTTAATGGTTTTCAATGATTAACTTGTGGATGTGTCAACAAATTACTCCTCCATAAGGAAGGTACATTCCAATCATACTCTTGTCTTCCACTATTTGTTTGTAAACCAGGTTCGACGGAAGATTATCGATATCAGTGTTGAGACATTCAGTTACTGTACGGCAAGTCGGACAACTTAACGCTCCTTTGCGATGTTGTCAAAGCCATCCTTCCAAGCATGATTTACAAAAGGTATGAAGACATTTCAGAATCTTTGGTTGCTTGTTTACGCTAAATTGCTCCTGGCATACTGGCATTCTATTTCCTTTTTCACGTCATCGAAAAAACTTTAGCTTGCGTTATAACTTCCTGATGATGAAAAGCATAATAAAGAGAGCGACAGCACCTACACGATTTTAAAAAGAGGAAGTTAACTCGCCATCATGTGATTCCAAGTATCGTACACAGGACTTCAAATATTTCTAAAACAAAACGTTTGGACTAGAAAAAAATCCATGCAAAAGAAGGGAAAATGGAAATATAACGAACGAAATAAAACACCTTAATTATAAACAGAAACAAAACGTGGATAGATGGCAACCATAGCAAAATGAGCAATCGGGGGCTGCTAGTCGTAATAATGATTTTAATTTTCAAAGAAATTGTATCGTTTGTCTCAATAAGTATCTACTTCGGAGTCGGTCAAGAGGTTTTCAAAATACCGCGGGACCAACACAATGCAAATTGTGACCACTGCAATGCACCAGCCGCATGTAAAACATCACTGGAGCTGTCCGCTTTAAACATGAAGCCCAATTGCAGCTGGAGAAGGAAGGGGGTTGGGGAGTGAGCTCCCATCGGCTCAATGTTTTAAGTGCGGTGGAACCTCGATTTGACGAAGTGCTGAGGGACTGAGGAAATTGGTTCGTTATGTCGAGTGTTCGTTGTATCGGAAACCTCGATTTAACGAATTTGGGGAAAACGACAAATTTTATCGAGGCATGTTTAATAATTGTTGTTGTTGTGTGTGTGTGTGTGTGTGTGTGTGTGTGTGTGTGTGTGTGTGTGTGTGCGTGCGTGTGGTGTGACGTTATGTTTAATGGCTATCTAACACCACAGTACACTGCACAGGTCTGTACTAGCTACAGCACCGGAAACTGAACAGCTCAACGAAATGTTGACAATTGCACCTGGCTTGTCAAATGTCATAAGGAAAAGGTCAATGAGTTGCGCAACCAAATAGTACAATTACACAAAAGACAACGACTTTACTTTACTACTAAAATTGCTAATCAAGACGCCCAATCAAAGTTCTTCCAGTGAAAATTGCCTCATTTTTTGTCATTCTTTACTTTACTACTAAAATTGCCAATCAAGACGCTTAATAAAAAAAAAATCTTGTCCCATATTTTTCTTTCGTTTCAATGTGTTTTTCATTCAAGAGAAAGAGCGTGGAACTTCGCTTTCTTTTGTGCCTGACTTGTCAGATTTCATGATGAACATAGTGTGTACTACTGTATAGTACTGCACCTTGGTCTTTTTTGCACTTGTCTTTGGTCACGTGTTGACATTTGTCCGTTATATCGGGGTATCTGTATACGTTTGGGCTTCTAGATTGTGTTCGTTATAACGATAATTTCTTTATATCGAGGTTCGTTATATCGAAGTGTAGCATACATTTTACTGTAACTTAAGCCGGGTTGAAAAGTATCGTTCGTTATACCAAGGACGTCATTGTTTTACTTAAGGAGAGTGTTTCGCATATTATGTAAGCTCTTCTCCTTCACCTTCCATCCCTTTTCTTGTCACAGCTTAATTTCATCACAAAATAGCTCTCCTTAAAGACAAGCGATATCTTTAAAGTGACCTCGCATTCGTCACAAGGGGGGCGAGGGGCAACTGAATGTAGGGGAGGGGAAGGTTATAGTTTTGAGCAAAACTTTAAACTTACATTCTCAAGGGCAAACGAATATATTTGGCACTTGCCATTTTGTGCACAAAAAAATGATACACTAGCAAATTGAAAAAAAACGTCATTGTAAAAGTCTTCTTCATGTGTTAGGTTGACCAAATACACGTCATCAGTCGGGATTCATGGTTTGCTTTGCAACAGCTGAGATCGGTTAACTGAAAGATAGGGTTTTTCTTAAATCCTGAAATAAATTTCAAAATGCAGATTAAGTACCATTACATATTTCTTATAATCCAATAAAGTTTACTATTATTGTACTGTCACGTAAACAATTACAGCGACACTTGCACGATCTCTGTTGTTTAACGGTTTTATATCTTTGTGCACCGATTAAATACGTAACCTAAAAACAAAGGAATCCATTCACTGGATTGCCAGTCATTCTCTGGAGATCGCTTTCCATCCTTTGAATAACTGGGTCCATGTAAGATTTATAACTCCGGCAGTTTTGTTAACCAACATGTGCCTGAGAATTTGTGCAAGAAATAGAAATACAATGAAGTGAAAACTTTGACAACATTAAGAGCCGAAACCGTAAAAAATGGTACCTTTGTTTAAGCTAGCTGTTATTAAGTCAGACGTGTAAATCAAGTGAGGCCAGGCATGCTACAATAAGCTAGTTTCCCCCGCTTTTGCCGATCTACGGCATCATAAGGGATGATGCCGATGTACGATACAGTAAAGTCATCCTTCGATCTCACTTATCCCCAGAGCTTTGTCATTTTTAACTGTTTCCCTCTCTTAAAGATATCCTTCAACAAAAGTATACACTGTGGGTCAAGTGAGGAAGTAGAAGTAAGAACCATAATGGCGAACATTAAGCTCACTGCTTTAATCTAAGCAGAGTTATCCTCTCTCAACGACCTAAGGGAAAAATCAACCGCAAAATAAAAAAGCCGAAAACTTTATGTTACATATCATTTAACAGTGTTCTAAACAGCCGTAAAGAGCATAATTTGTTTCTAGTGATCCTTAACCTAACTATCAAAGCAGCCACCTTTTCAGTCAATATGATACTCCGCCTTTCAATTCACAACTCGTTGCAGTTACACTAACTATTTGTGCCATGTTATTGTTTTGATGCTAAGTTTTGCTATTGCTGTTGTTGTTGTTGTTGTTATTGTTTTTGGGTCGATTTTTGTACAACCTAACTACTAAAAGTATACAGATATATTAGTCAAATGAGAGGAGTCCTATCCTCCCAGGTGATGACATTACAGTCTTTATATTGTGCCCAAACGTTTCTTCAACATTTGAGAGCCGTCGCTTACTCAGGATCAGCGAATTCCCTTGGCGGCCAAGTCTTCTTTAACCCGTCGGAGATAATCTAGGTCCGGATAACCATACCTGTGATGAACAGTTCAATTGTTTAAGAAGTGAACTGAGCACTACGTGTTATTGAAAAATATCAGTAAGGAAGACTTGTGCGTCAAAGGCATTGAAACTGAAGAACAGAGAGGCTTCCAAGTTTTCAAGCTTCTCATAGTACACAGCGTTATAGTTCAATGAATTATCTTTCAAGAAGAAAAATTTGTACGAGTCACTTACGCCTGAGGCCCTCCAGATTTACTAGTCTTGTGGTGAATATCGTTCCACGTGATCTGGTTTCGACACCCAGATGATACTGATGTACCCACCGTGAACACCAATCGGGCGTCAAAGGCTCTCCTTAGAAGAGCCAACACCTCTTTCCCTTCTCGGTTATCGGGAAGATATGCAGTACGATTGGTACTACTGTACCTTTCACCAGGATTAGGATGCTCCCGGCCTTGAATCCCAGAGGGAAAGTTGTAGGTAATGGTGATTGTTCCACAACCTGCGAAGAGAATTGCACCATCAAAGAAAGTTGAAATGGAACAAAAGTTCAAACACCCGAATGGATACTTGATTCGTTTTGCCTTTTAGAAGAACGATCAGTCCTAACATCGTTTCGGTTTGACTGCTACTGCGAAGATATTGAATTCGAAGTTTAAAGTAAAGCTTAGTTTCTGAATACTTAAAAATCTACATTTCAATTCTTGTTTCTGATTTTTCTTTAAGTCTTTTACCTCACCGTATGTAATGATCCACATCTCTGCACAGATACCAGCTCTCAAAATATTTCCCCATCATTTTAAGCGCTTGGAAACCCTTAATTATTACGGTGAGTGTCTTAAAAAAAGAGTTCTAACAGGCTCGTGGAAGAAATTTTACAGCATTAGGTTATTGGGGCATTTTGGTCTATTCTCGGATATTTCCGCTTCATCACGGAACCTCACCAGATTTATCGATTTGTGTTAACAGCTTAGTGATATACCAATTAATATGAATATATCCTGGACGAAAATAACCATTTTCAGGAACGAACGTAACCCAATCAAAAAATCTACGCGAAACCAAAAATATAGATGTGGGGGAAGAAAACTCAAACCCAAAATCACTTCAAAATTTCTCAGAGGATCCAATCCTTGTGTGATTATTTCATAATTACCGTGATAGCCTGGAAGACTGTGGTGACTATGGTGCACGTGCATTTGTCCGTCAGGTTGATTTCCTTTGACGACACCTTGCGGTTCTTTACACACTGGACAGCGGTTGTCATAAGACAAAGCAGTCTCCACACATTGAGTACAGAAGGCGTGTCCACATTTTAATTTTTTAGCATTTTTTACCGCATCCAGACAAATCGCGCATTTGTCATCTTTACTTCCACCTCCTGGAACAGAATCTAGTCAATGAAAATAAAAATAAACGTTGTTGCAGATATAGCTCAGCAGTTTTTACAGTAGAAGGGGGGTTGACGAACGCCAACGACATAAGTAATACAAGTAAACCATAACCATGTTTAAAATTCCAACTGGTGGGAGAGATATCATCCAATTCGAATATTGAGACGGCTCACTTAGACAGTAGTCTGCGAACCCAAAAAGCTTGTCTCACTTTAAAGTGCCAATTGAAAAATTTTGAAAGTAATATTCGTCAATAGCTCTATTAGGCATTTTTAGATCTAAGTGCAATATCTTCACCGGTATAAATCAATCTGTTTATGAAACTGTTACACTGAGTCGACATAGTTCAAACAATAAAAAAAAATTAAACTAAGGCCTAATATAAGTTACGTCAAGATAAAAAATTTAATTTCACGAAACATGGTATACCTTCAGACGATTCTGGCCGAGGTCCTTTTCCGTCAGGAACATTCCCATGTCTGTTTCCTGTCACTGCATCACTAAAAGACTTCAAAGACGAATCGACATGTGATGTCAAAGGATCATTCACATCATTCGTCCTATCTTTTCCTTTCTTGTTCCCCCTTTTTGATCTTGGAGTTTTGAATGCCGTTGGGTCAGCCGCCTGAGACTGATCTTTTTGGATTTGGAAGATCTTAATGAATTCTTTCCTGAATACTTTCACCGTCGGATCATCGATGATCACAAATCTAATATCGGTCAAAGTCAACTTTGATGGATCTCCTCGTGTGATATATTCTTTCACGGCTTCAAACATGATTTTTGCGCTGATCTCTTTCGGCATGCCGAAGAGTCCTGAGCTAATCGCTGGAAAGGCGATGGACTTGCACTTCTTGTTGCCTGCGGCTGCCGCGAGACTTCCCAAACAAGCCATTTTTAGAGCTCTCTTACATTTCTCTTGCTCCGATCTTTTCCACATAGGACCTACAGCATGGATGATTTTTTTACATGGTAGTTTGCCAGGCCCAGTCACGGCTATTTCACCATCGTTCAAGGGTCCATAGCGAGAGATGTAGTTATCAGACTCTTTCTGTATACCATAGCCCCCTTTGTCGATGATTGCGCCTGCTACTCCGGCACCATGGCTGAGTCTGCTGTTGGCTGCATTCACTATTGCATCAACGTTTTGATCTGTGATGTCACTCTTAATAACAGAAAGCTTTACTGAACCTACGAAGCATAAGAGTTGGTTATAAGCATCAAGAATATTACGCCTCATTGCCTCCATTCTCAAAATTGTTTTCTTTAACCATAGTTATACAACTTAAAAGGTTAAAGGTATTGGTTGTAATTTAAAATTTGCACATGAGAACCAATGTTTCAGATATTGAAAGAACCAAAGAGCATCTAAACGTCGAAGACGTCTTCGATTTCATTGTCGAAAGCCAAAAAAGAGCGAAACAAAATACACTGCAAAGTTACCTGAATGTGCTTTACAGATGGGAGAAACATGATCTGTAAGCGAAACTAGTGGAAGAATTATGGAAACAAAACGGAAGCGAATATGAACCTGACTGTCTTGCGTACATGTAAGTGTTACGAAGTTTCAACCGTAAGGACAAAATACCAACAAACCATCGAAATTGAAAGAAACGCAGATTCAGAACCGGCGTAACAAGAGGCAACCTGGTAATGAATCACCAAACGAAGTTTTGTGCACAGTTCGGTTTAACAATGTCCACTTTTTGGGCGGACGTGCTTGCGAAAAACATCGTCGGATCAAGTTTATGAATTTCCAAATAACCGCGAACACCTCAAATGTACTATACTTCAAATGTAATATACGTACCAATCATGTGTTCCAACTGATCATCAATTTCATAACTCTCGTCATCCTCATCTGTTCCATCTCTGCACCAAGCCCCTGCTTCCTGTGCTGTCCGACCAATCAGACCCTCTTCTTGAAGATCGCCTAGATATTTCTCGACAAACCTTTCTTCACCGTAGACTTTCAAGTGCTTTCGGTCCTCACAGACCTCAATTAGTAAGGGTTGTGCCTTACCCACGTCTCGGATACGTTGCCTAATGTGTACAGGTGACTTTTGGTCTCTGGGAATGAATTTAACAAGCTTCATGCACTTATGTACATTTTGATAAAGGGTGATGAAAGCTTCACAGCCCTCAAAGAATTTTTCAGTGGTGCAGAGTTTAGTTGGTTCAACGGTAACTTTGTCGTTGACGACATCCCGGTGTATTTTTACTTCATAATCATTTTCGATTTTCTGTAATTCTTTGTCATGTGCTTTGACAAACAAACAGAAGAACTTCGGCGTCGTGTCGTACTGTTGAGGTTGCATATCCGCGCATTCTTGGCCTTCAAAGTTAACACTGTTTCCTGAGCCCTCTCCAGGGCGAGTTTCTCCTGTTTCACCAGCCTCTTGAGATGTGGGATCTGAACTTTTAGCAATCCTCTTATTCTTGTGTGACCCATTGGGAAGTAGCGATCCAAAATCTAAACTCTGACAATTTTCCAAGAACTGGCTCAACAAAACTCTACTTTGTTTCACCTGTTGGAACGTCCCTGAAAGTACGAAACCCTCACTTGCATCGTGGAACTCAATGTCGGCCTCGTCTT